TTTGATTGTTCTATTTTCTCAAAATATCTTCTCATTTAGAAGTTGAAATTTTCAATGAAAAAGAAGATTTTTCAATTTGACAACAAAAAATGAAGAGGATTTTGTTTAAACAAAATATTTCAAAAGTCATAGATGACAAATTTTCTGTAAATTTGACAAAAGCACAAAGAGGAGAATATGACGAACTTACTTACATTTTAATTATTTTACACTTATCTGACACTATTTTGAGACAAGTTGGAAAACTTGACTTTGTAAAAGAAATTTGGCGAAAATTGAAAGACTTATATTTGTTTAAGTCTACTCCTAATAAGTTGTACTTGCTTGAAAGATTTTTCAATTTTAAAAATAGATCATTCAAAGGATCTTGATAACAATTTGAATGTTTTCAACAAGTTTGTTTGAGACATTGTTAACTGTGATCAAAAGGTATATGAAACTATAAGGTCATTATTTTGCTTAATTCAATGTATGAGTCATATAAAGAGGTTAAGAATGCAATTAAGTATGGTTGAGATACCTTAACATCAGATGTTGTCATAGATTCCTTTAAGAGTAAGGAGATTGAGATTAAGATTGAAGAAAAGATAAGAAGAGTGGTGGATTACATATGACGAAGAGTACAATGAAATTTAAGTCAATGAATTTGGGTAGAGTTCAAGATAGTAGTGATTTAAGTAGTGATTCGAGTGATGAGGATAGTAAGAAGAATGGCGAAGGATGGAACAAGTCTAGTGGTAGTCAATGTTATAGTTGTGGTAAGGCTGAACATTTTATTAGGGACAATCCTAAGAAAAAAGATAAGCAGAATGATAAGATGAGAGATGAGACGAATACGATCATAGATTGAGTGATGACCCTAGTGAGTTTTATTGAGAGTAGACCTAATTACTATATATGCATCTGTGTGTAATCCTTTCTGAAAATGCGTGATTGCTTAATTCTGATACATGATTATTTGTTACATTTCTGTGTTTGATATGTACATTTATATGAACTTGAGAGCAATTTGATTACTTTATGTAATTGTTTGCATACATCGTGAGTTGGGATGCATTAGCAATAAGCGTATTGTGTGTCTATTGGTGAGGTGGAGTATAGATGTCTAGGAGTACATTGGTGGTTTGTACCGGAATATGGATTGTGTTTTTGGATCACGAGTGGAGATGTAGTTAAATGTCTCAAATATTTTATCTGTGAAATATCCTATACAAGTGGAGTGTAAGAGAGGCACTTCTATCACTTCTGTTAGACAGAGACCCATTATCCACTTAAGTTGGGAAAAGTGATGTGATGATAGAGGATTATCCTATAGACTTAGGATCTATTGTGATTTATCAATTAAACATGAGTTGAGTTATCATCTAGTGAGCATAATGGGGGATGAGAGGATATATGTGTTTTCGAGGTATGAACAACAATGAATGGGAATAAGTGTGGTGAGATCCTTTAATGGGGTCACTTATACATTTGTTGTATGTGTGTTGATCGTTTAATTGATTAACTAGGTGTCAATCTGTTGTTCTGTGTGAACATGTTTCTAGAGGATATGTGTTTTCCTTCATCGCATATTTATTTGCTCTTGATTGTTTTACTGGTATTATAAACTTCTACTTGGTCTTTCGTGACCTTAGCCCTGGTGAGTACATGGAGCAGATATGGAATATGTTTCAAGTCTGAAACACGAGGTAAGGTCTATGATCCCAATTTTATGGGTTACCTTGATTATGCAAGTATTAACTTTGTATTTTGATTGCTTGTAGGTTGATTTGGTATCAAGGTAAAAAATTGTTGATTTTTTTGATATCCAATAAATTTCGGACTATGATGTTACTTGTTGGAATTTTCAATCTGCATTATTCAAATGATTAAATTAAATATCGGTACCAAAGATTGATGACTGGGCCCAAAAACTATTTGTGGCCATTTGAAGTGGCCTAATTTTAGTTAGTGGAACCCTTATGAGAACTAAACCACTACTCGGTTTACTTAGCCTATATATTGGATTGGACGTGGCCCAATCTCATACCTACTGTTACCTATATATTGTTGCCTTGGTCTTGACGTTCAAGTGCTTTTTGCCCTTGCCCTTGTCTCTTGAAGAAAAAGGCTTCCTATTTTCTTTGCTTTGTGCTCCATGGCTGTCCTCTCTTCTTCACCTTTGTGGTTGCCTCTGGGGCTACAAAACACCTTCTTTTTTGCGTCCTAAGTGGGTATGGTTAAAAGCAATTGGAGTATGGAATAGTTGAGGGTTTTTAGTCGAGATTTTGGGTGTTTGATAAGGTTGCGATTGTTATACTACACCCGAAAATACACCTTGGTGGCCATCCTTTCACTACACTGTCTCCACAATTGATGCCTATGCAATCTAGGCTAAAAATTATCCCAATAGTTTCATCAATTGGGATCTTATTTCACTGTTGTCCACTAGCTAATAGGTGTCTCAAGATTTAAGAGTCATCGGATAAAGGAGAGCAATCACCAGTTACGAAGTCAACTTTCTCCCGAAATATCTTCTAATACTCCGCTGTTACTAGATGATAGAACAAAGAGAGTTCTTATTGATCGATCTACCTGTGTGTCGATTGCAAGGATGGTCGGGATCTTATCGATGAGAGAGGCCCTTGTCAACATTTATCATCACAAGTGGGCTTTCTAGGAACACTTTTCTTTATGTCAATTTCAGGCCAACATTCTCATCCAAAGGTAAGGTCTTTCTTTTAGTTACAAAATGCATGGTTCTGCTCGAAGTGTAACATGTGACCAATCTATTTTTAATCATGTTTTGTGGGTAAAATGAATGCAATATTATTTGCACTAATATGGCTCTACGCTTTTTATATCCGATGATGGAGTCCGAGACTGGAAAATATGACACGGTCATCGAAGAGTTCAAAGTATTAAATGAAGAATAAAGCACGAGAATGTGTGACGCCTTTTATTGCAAATAGCTCTCGCTGAGATTATTTTGTTTGATTGACATAAATGCCTAAATCTACTACAAATTACTTGGCTAGATGATTAGAGAATGGACCATATTACTAGTTTAGTTCTTAGATTTCGAGCAATTAGAGCACGTTGATGTATTAAATTGGATATTATCATATAATCCATCCTTTTCTTATATTATGCCCCTGTTTGAGCCCCATTTTAATCTCATTAAAATGAAAAATATAATCGTTATCCATCACATTAAGCCACTATTTTTGAATTTCTATCTTTGATGTGGGGCTCATAACGACTCTATTTCTCATTCTCATTCTCATTATATATATAATATATCAAACATGTCATTATAAATATTGAGATCTTTTACTATGTGCAACTGCAGGTGGCCACTCTTAGTAAATTGCTAGAATGACATGATTTTCAGGGTTTTATGTGTCGTGTTCTAGCGTTTATGGACTTTGAACAATATCTTAAATACAATGATTATTTCTTGTAACTGTAAGACTCCAAATACCATAAAACATAATGAACTTAATACAGTGCTTATAAACCCACAGTGAATGGCAAAGGGTCAAGAGTCATATGTTAAATGATTGATCCTTATTGTCAAAAATAATTATTTAACAACATACTATAAACAAAAGTGTAAGTTGAATTCGTTGATCGTTATAAAAATGAGTATCCTATCGATAATTAAACATAAATATTCTATAATGTTAATTATGTTAATAGTAAAATAGCATAGTATAAGTTAAGACTTAATTTCTCTCTATCAAATGAATCTTCTTCTTTTTTCATGAAAAAGGGTGGCTGGTCCATCGAGTTATTTGTTGAATTGTAGTTCATCCAAGATATTTCAATTATGGAGTTTTTTGCACATCAGTTGAACTACTTTTAGTTTGGCATTCGATTTTTCCATTGAACCAATAAATCAGACTTCTTTACAAAACATTGACCAAACAATGGCTCGACTTTCAAAAAAAAAAAAAATGAAACTCAGAGGATATTCTAACACCATGACCTGACCTCCTTAATATTAAGGAATAAATCCTACCACCAATAAAAATATAAGCCAACATATAAGAGTTTGATATTTTAAGACAGAATCTAAAATTTCAATATGGTATCAGAGTCAAATAAGTTTTAACGAGCAATTTAATCCGATTAAGACTCAAAAAAATAAAACCGATTCAAGTTCTCAAGTCAGATTCAAAAGTCGGTCCGGTCCAAGTTCAATAATTATACATTGCTAATCCATTCAAGAGAAAGTGGTAGAAAATGAAGTGCAAAAGAAGGCGAGAATGTCGCACGTTATATTAGAGATTCATTTTTATTTTTTATTTTTTTCTAATTATCATATATGATTCCGAACTTGGATAAGTAAAACTTACCCTAACACCATCATTTTTTGTAATTATTTTTTTTTTTTTCGTTTTTTTGTTCTTTTTGTTTTTTCAGTTCTGGAAGGAACAAGAATATAGAGAAAAGGTGTACCATCCTATAAACTTAACAAGAAACGAGGAACATTAAGGAATTAAATTTTTGGTAACAATGACATTTTTAGCGGTTATATTAAGCTCATGTTTGATTTTAATTTTTCTAGAAGTGATTCTTTATAAGTATTTTTTTAATTCTGTGGTTAAAAATAAGAAAATAATAATAGGGAAACTAGAAGAAATATATATATATATATATATATATATATATTTTTTTTTTTAAAAAATATGTGTTTAAAAATGGG